CCCAGGACCGGACCCAAAAAAAAAAAAATCAAAAAGAGTAGGAGCTATAGCCAGGCACCAGTGGCTCACACCTGTAATCTCAACTACAGAGGAGGTTGAGATCTGAGGATCATGATTCAAAGCCAACCAGGGCAGAAAACTCCATGAGACTCATCTTCAATTAGCCAGAAAAAATAAAATAAAATAAAAATAAAAAATGCAGAAGCTGCTTCATTCAATCCTGTGTCTGCCCCCTGCTGGACACTGCTCTTACAACTAGAAGCAGGGCTGGCAATGTGGGGAGCACTCTTACCATTGAGTGCTTGCCTAGCATGAAGCCCAGGGAAAAAGCTGGAAGTGGTGCTGTGGTTCAAGTGGTTGAGTGCTAGCCTTGAGTACAGAGAGGCTCAGGGACAGAGCCCAGGCTCTGAGTTCAAGCCTCAGGACCAGAAAAAAAATAGACAAAGCAGGGGCACTTTCTGCAGTGTACAACCTGAGTAACTGAACGTGACAGCTCTGTGTAATCCTCATCAACTCCCTGCTATTCCTGGGCCTCAGTTTCTCCATCTGATCAGCCATTAGTGGAACTCAATTCCCAAGACAGTTCCCCCATTACCCCCCCACACCCCGGGACAGCCTGACCCCCTCTGAGGGCATCAGCTTCTCCACACAGGAAGCAGATGGATGCAGAACATCTTACCGAGCAGAAGCCACGCCTCCGTCGGTCCCCGCTGTGTGTGCAGAGCATGGCAGGGCTCAGCTGGCCACGCCATGAGCTGTTGCAGACATCTAAGCCTAGCACCTGGACCTTAGCCTCCATCAGTCCAGGTGGAGCATCCTCAAAGTCTGACACGAAGCCCCAGCCAGCCACGCGACACGGTGTCCCGGCTGCAGGGGGCCGAGCGCCTCTTCGAGGCAGCCTCAGTAGCCCCACTGCTGGACCCAGGACTGCAGAGCTGTTCAGCTGCAGAGAGAGGCCAGGTTCAGGGGGTACCCCTGCACCATGTACTCTATTCACCACCCCTGCCTCAGAGCCAGCTTCCTCAAGGACCCAGGTGCCCGGTCAAGGCCAGTTTACCAAGCTGCCTGTCCCTGTCACCTGAGGGCTCTGTGTATCTTTGGTTATGGGTTTTGCAGGTTCATGCAGCTCCTGAACTCTCGGTTCAGGAAACACTTGGTAGCCCCTAGCTTCCTCAGAAGTCAATGGCAGCTAGCTCCTCCAGACATTTTCAAAAGAGAACTCAGCAGCCTGGAATTAATGGCTCACACCTGTAATCGCAGTTACTCAGGAGACTGAGGTCTGAGGATTGTGGTTCAAAGTCAGCCCTGGCAGGAAAATCTGGAAGACTCTGATCTCCAGTGAACCACCAAAAAAGCTGGAAGTGGCGCTGTGGTTCAAGTGGTAGAATGCTAACTTTGAGAAAAAAAAAAAATAACATAAAGAACCTCAGAGACAAAGCCAGGGGCTGGTGGCTCACACCTGTTTACCCTAGCTACTCAGGAGGCTGAGATCTGAGGATTGCTTTTTGAAGCCATCCTGGGCAGAAAAGTCCATGAGACTCTTATCTCCAACTAACTACCAGAAAACCAGAAGTGGCGCTGTGGCTCAAAGTGATAGAGTGCTAGCCTTGAGCAAAAGAGCTCAGGGACAGCACCCAGGCCCTGAGTTCAAGCCCCAGAAACTATGTTTTCCTGGCGCTACTAGCCGGCACCAGTGGCTCACCCACAACAGGCAGATGTCATTGGCGTGGGTCTCAGGCTGGTACTTGGGGTGCTTCACCACAGCTGTGATGCTGAACACCTGCTGCGTGGGCTCCGAGGGGTGTAGAACATGGGCCCCGAGCACCACCAGGCCCATACGAGGGTCCCTGGGGAGAAGTGACAAGATGGTATGAGGCTCACCCATCAGGGCTTCTGTCCCTATACCTCTAGTGACAAGCGGTTTAGAAACCCTTCAGCACCAATGCCAGCCCGGCAGTGGCAATATCCTTATTTTCCTTCCCACCTCAATTGCAATATTAATATACACATGCTACTTACTATAGTATTCATTTGAATAGCAATAAGAACATGCCGGGCGCCAGTGGCTCACACCTGTAATCCTACCTACTCAGGAGGCTGAGACCTAATGCCAGCTCAGGCAGGAAAGTCCATGAGACTCTTATTTCCAATGAACCACTAAAAAGCCAGAAGTGGAGCTGTGGCTCAAGTGGAAGAGCACTAACCTTGAGCGCAAAAGTTCAGGGATAGTATCCAGGCCTTGAGTTCAAGCTCCAGGAATGGCATACACACACTCACACACACACACACACACACACACACACACACACACACACACTATTTGCTACTATTTCCATGGTAATACTAGTGACATTATTATTGTTATTGTATGTGTGGGGGGGTGTTTTGATCGTAAGGCTTGAACTCAGGGTCTGGGTGCTGTGCCTGAGCTCTTTTCCTCAAGGCTAGCACTCTACCACTTTAAGCCACTGTGCCACTTCCAGTTTTCTTTTCTGATGGTTAACTGGAGATGAGAGTCTCACGGACCTTCCTACCCAGGCTGGCTTTGAACTTCAATCCTCAGATCTCTGTCTTCCAAGTCGCTAAACTGACAGGCATGAGCCATCAGTGCCCCGCATACTATTTTAATAGTAAAAATACACTTGAAATCAACATGAACATAGTTGTGAGGCTTGAGGATCACCAGGAGCCCCAGGGTGAGGGTGGGGTTCCACCCTGTTCCTGTCAACCCAGAGTCCATTCTGCAGGTCACCCTTGGGCCTCACCTGTCACTGAAGCAGTGGGCGGCTGAGACCACCCAGCGGGCCTGGAGCAGAAAGCCTCCACAGTGGTGCTGGCCCTCAAAGCTCACGGAGGCCATGTAGGGCCGGGAGTGGGGTGTCACTTCTCGACCTCCGATGATCCGAGCTCCCCAGGAGCCTGTGGTGTGGACAGCCCGCAATGAGAGAGAGCTGGGCATGAGACTGAGCCCCTGGGACAGCTCTGTTACCGGACCTTTGGTCCCCATGAGGGGAGGAAGGGAAGAGGAAGAGATAGACACTGGGGCTAGGAGGGTGCCCATAATGCAAAGATAAGGTAGAAGAAGCCAGATGGCCCAGTGCTGAGAGGGACCCTCAAAGCCTAAGCCTGAGTGGTAGAGACCCCTCAACCCCCACAGGTAAATGCTAGGCCTGGCTGTGTCCCAGGACCAGGGGGTGGGGATGGGGATCAGGAATCTAGGGTCATGGCCAATGGTTCACACCTATAATCCCAGCTACTTAGGCAGCTGAGAGCTAAGGATCGAGATTCAAAGTCAGCCCAGGCAGGAAAGTCTGTGAGATTCTCATGTCCCATTAAGTACGGAAAAGCCAGAAATGGAGCTGTGGCTCAAATGACAGTGCTCCAGCCTTGAGCAAAACAAAAACAAAACTCAGGGACTGTGCCCAGGCCCTGAGTTAGGGTCCTAAGACGTGCGCGCGTGTGTGCGCGCACACACACACACACACACGAATCCAGGGGTCAGCTGGGGTCTGGAGTACTCACCAGGGGGCCTCGTGGGCAGCATCAGGACAGCGGCCACCGTCAGCAGCAGGTGGCTTGGGCCCCCTGTCCTGGGTGCCATGGCTGTCCCACGCTGGTGTCTTCCTTGCCAGGGCTACACACTGTTGTTGGCTCTCGCCCTCACCAACTGCCCAGAAAGCAGTGGGAACCCAGATACTGCCTGTGGTCAGGAAGCCAGGCAGGGACACCCCACCAGAGAGGGCATTTCTGGGAAATGGGTGACTGGGCGGTGCCAGATTACCACCGAGACCAGTCATGATCGCATGGGAGGTTGAAAGCAGGAGATGGCAGGGGCAGAGGGGACTCCATGGACCTCCATGCACCCCCTTCAGGGACTCACTTCGCTTCCCTGGGCCTCAGTTTACCTGGCATCTACCTGGGGTGAGTGCATGGAGAAGCCTGCCTGGAGTGCCCAGTAGACACAGCTCCTCACTGGTGCCCACTTGCCCCTGGGGTGCCAGCTCTGCCCTGCGCATGCGCCCCGCCCTCGGGGGACAGGAGTAATGAAGGCTGGTCTTCTGGGAAACTGATTATGGCTGGTGTGTGTGTGTGTGTGTGTGTGTGTGTGTGTGTGTGTGTGTGTGTGATGGGGCTCGAACTCAGGGCCTGGGCGCTGTGCCTGAGCTTTTTTGAAACTCAAGGCTAACACTCTACCACCTTGAGCCATACCTCCACTTCTGGCTTTTTTTGCTGGTTTATTGGAGATAAGAGTCTCATGGACTTTCCTACTCAGGCTGGCTCTGAACCATGATCCTGAGACCTCAGCCTCCTAGGTAGTTAGGATGACAGGCGTGAGCCACCAGAGCCTGGCTTTTTAAAAAATAATTTTTCCATGAGACTCTTCTCTCCAATGAACCAGCCAAGAAGTTGGAAGTGAAGCTGTGGCTTAAGTGGTAGAGTACCAGCAAAAAAAAAGCTAAGTGATTACTAAGCTAAGCCCCAGCACTGGAACAAAAGAGAGGGACAGAGAGAGGATATACAGGTAAAGACAGGCAGAGATCGAGAGGAGGAGAGAGAGAAAGGCAGAGAGACAGAGCGGGGCAGGGCAGGAGCCAGGGAGGCTTAATGGTGTTAGAGCTGGGGACTTTTCCCAGGCTCCAGGCCATCTTCTGTCCCTTCTCAAGTGCAGGCTCCATCCCAGCTCCCCACTCAGCTTCCAGGCCAAATTACAGTTTGACATTGACTTGGTCCCTGGAGGCCATCTAGCCAGGCTGTGTCCCCAAGGCTCAGACTGTCTGATGGTACTTCTGCCCAGCCAAGCAGAAGACACAGTTGATTGAATCAGCACCCTGGGTCCTCCAGGTGTGGGTTTTGTGCCCACCTTCTCATGGCCAGTAGAGGCTTATTTTACCCACAGCCTCCATTTCCTTCCCCTTTTGGTGAATCGTTGTGAAACAAATAACTGCCCTACCCTTCAAACCAAATAACCAAACTCACAGCAGCCCAGAGGCATGGACTGGGGGTGGTGTCCATGTTTCTCATTCTCAAAGTGAGGCCCAGAGAGGGGAATCTGTTTGGCTGGGCTGCACAGTAAAGTCTTAGGATTTTGAACTCCTGGATTATGATCCTGGAGGGTCTTAGATGGGAACTGAATTGGATTTCCCTGTCCTGGAATAATGGGTGAGGCCTATCTGTTGGAACTCTTTATATATTTTGTTTTGTTTTTTGTTTTACCATCATGAGGCTTGAACCCTGTGTCTGGGCACTGTCCCTCAGCTCTTCAGCTAAAGGCGAGCACTCTACCACTTGAGCCACAGCACCACTTCTGGTTTTCTGGGGTTTCTTCGAGATATGAGTCTCACAGACTTTCCTGCCCAGGCTGGCTTTGAACCAAGATCCTCAGATCTCAGCCTCCTGAATAGCTAGGATTACGGTATGAGCCACCGGCACCTGGCTACATTTTTTTCCCCCTGACCACCTACAAGAAAACTTGGGAGTGAGGTCTTTTTTTTGTTTTATTGGTTTGTTTTGATTTGTTGTTTATGGGGCTAGAACTCAGGGCCTGGGAGCTATCCCTGAGCATCTATGCTCAAGCGCTCTACCACTTGAGCCACAGTTCCACATCTGGAGGTTAATTGGAGATAGGAATCTCACAGGTATTTTTTGCTCTGCCTGGTTTTAAACCAAGATCCTCAGATCTCAGCCTCCTGAGTAGCTAGGATTACTGATGTGAGCCATTGGTACCCCTTCCCTCCTTCATAGGTCCAACCTGTCTTCTGGGCCTGCACTATGGCTGCCAGCCATAGACTTTACATTTAAGGGATTTATTTCTCCACCTGTCCACAATCTGAAACAGAACTCACCTCTACCAGGCACAAGTGGCCTGTAATCCTTGCTACAATGGAGGTCTAGATCTGAGGATCACACTTTTTTTTTCTTGTCTGTCATGGGGCTTGAACTCTGGGTCTGGGTGTTGTCCCTCAGCTGTTCAGATCAAGGTAAGCACTCTACCACTTGTGCCACAGTTCCACTTCCAGTTTTCTGGTGGTTTATTGGAGATAAGAGTCCTACAGGAGCTGGGAAGGTGGCTCAGTGGTAGAGCGCTTGCCTTGCATGCATGAGGCCCTCGGTTCCATTCCTCAGCACCACAAAAGCAGAAAAAGCCAGAAGTGGGGCTGAGGCTCAAGTGAGAGTGCTAGTCTACAGCTGAAGAACTGAGGGACAGCGCCCAGGCCCAGAGTTCAGGCCCCGCGACTGACCAAATAAAAGTCTTACAGAGTTTCCTGCCTGGGCTGGCTTTGAACCTTGATCCTCAGATCTCAGCCTCCTGAGTAGCTAGGATGACAGGCATGAGCCACCTGCACCCAGCTAGTCATGAGACTCTTTATCCCCAGTAAACTACTAAAGGAGATGTGGTTTAAGTAGTAGAACATTAGTCTTGAACCAAAAAGTTCAGGAATAATAACTAGGCCCTGAGTTTAAGTCACAGAAATGGCATAAAATAAAAAAAGGGAAGAGGAAGGGAGGCAGGGTCTCTTCCTCTGGAATACATTTCTTCTGAGTCTGTTTGCTCTTCCAGGCTCCACCTGGGGGTTTGTGAAATTCGAGGTTGTCACATTCACACCAACAGGGGTGGCCTGGGGGTGTGGGAGACCTAGGCACAGGAAGGGCACAGGTGTGCTGGGTCCCGGCAACCTGAACACCTGGGAAATGATGGAGTCATGTGACTTACTGGTCACTGAGATGCCAAGAGACAACAGCATACAAGCATAATTCCCACCTAGCAATAGTGGCTCAGGCCTGTCAACCCAGACATGCTAGAGGCTGAAATTGGGAGGATCGTGGTTCCAGGCCAAACTGGACAAAAGATTTTTGGTTTTTTTTTTTTTTTTGTTGGTCATAGGGTTTGAACTCTGGGCCTGGGCGCTGTCCCTCAGCTCTTCAGCTCCAGGCGAGTGTTCTACCGCTTGAGCCACAGTGCTATTTCTGGTTTTCTGGTGGTTCATTGGAGATAGGAGTCTCATGGACTTTCCTTGACCCGGCTGGCTTTGAACCATGATCCTCAGATCTCAGGCTCCTAGGATTATAGGCATGAGCTACCAGTGCCTGGTACAAAAAGTTTTTTGAGGCTCCCCATCTCAAGCAAGAGCTGAGCATGGTGACCCATACCTGTTTTACTAGCTATGGTGAGAAACAAACAGGGGGACTGTGGTCCAGGCTGACACAAATAAAAAGCTAGAACCCCCTCAAAAATAACCAGAGCAAATAAATGGTGCTGAGCTATAAATAAATATCCACCTGCAGGGCACTGAAAGATGTGTGTGTGTGTGTGTGTGTGTGTGTGTGTGTGTGTGTACTGTGATTTGAACTCAGGGCCTGGGCACTGTCCCTGATCTTCTTTTTCTCAAGGCTAGCACTCTGCCACTTGAGCCAACACCACTTCCAGCTTTTTCTGTTTATGTGGCGTTGAGGAATCGAATCCAGGGCTTCACGCATGCTAGTCAAGCATTCTACCACTAAGCCATAATCCCAGCCCAGATTCAGGTCTTATTTTCAGTCTTTTTTTTTTTTTTTTGTCAGTTGTGGGCTTTGAACTCAGGGTCCAGGTGCTGTCCCTGAGCCTCTTTGTGTTCCAGGCTAGCTCTCTACCACTTGAGCCACAGCACCATTTCCAGTTTTTTCTGAGTAGTTTATTGGAGATAAGAGTATCTTGTACTTTTCTGCCTGGGCTGGCTGTGAACCCCAATCCTCAGATCTCAGCCCTTAGTAGCTAGGATTACATGCTTATTTTGAGCTCTTTGACTCATTTGGAGTTGATTTTTATGCAGTGTGAGAGATAGGGGTCAGGTTTCTGTCCCTTACTGATGGCTTACACCTGTCGTCCTATCTAGTGGAGGAGGCTGAGATCTGAGAATGACAATTCAAATACAGCCCAGGTGGCGAGACTCTTATCCCCAGTGAACCACCAATAAAGCTGGATGTGGAGCTGTGGCTCAAGTGATGG